CAAACCAAGGTAAATTTTTGCGGCCGGAGCTGGTCGCAACCCGAAAAGTTCGTAAGCAGAGGCGTTCGTAACCCAATGTACCACTGTATATATACCATTCTGATAAATCCTAGTATGCTTTGTTTTCTTTGGGATGGGAAATAAAAGAGATATTGATCATGCAAATATTCTCCAAGATATTGCTGATTCTTAGAATATGAACTCTTTTGAAAGCTAAAATTAATTAGCTATCACTTTTAAGGGTCTCTTTTTGTTAAGAGTGCCATTCTTAACAGAAGTTTCATGGCTGGGGAAAATTTGTTTCTTTTATTCATTAAATAAATGGTATATATGTTTGCCCTAATTATCTATTCCCAATGGTTTGGTGTAGATGTTTATCTCCAGGTAGAAAGTCCATCTAAGCTATTTTCCTTTGTTAACAGCAATAATAAACTATATTCCATTTAATTTTATCTAGAAATTTAATAATTGGGAATTACTTACTGTGGGCCTCTTTATAATATTCAGCTCACTGTAAACTGTACTACTGCCTTTCTGTTTGTTATCAAATTCAAGTATGATCAACTTATTTACCTTACCACCCTACCTTGCTTTGATTTTTTATTCCCATTTTCTAATGGTATGTGGGAATGACCCTGAGAGATAGGAAGAAAGAACCACAGCCAGGGGAACAGTCAGATAAAAGGCAGTTTAGCCCACAGCAGGAATGTGGGCATGGCAAATGTCTAGGAAGGGACCCTCCCAGTTTCTTGAACTGTAAAGGCAATGGAGAAGAAATGTACTTTCAGACTTGCAAGGTTCTGTTAATGTAATCTTACAATAATTAGTTCATCTGGGTGTGCTTCTTGTCTGGACTACCTCACAAGGCTGACACATTTTCAACAAGTTTGGTTTTATCCTTTAAAAGTGTTCTCTTTTCATGAAATCCCCTGTAGAAAGAAAATGGGACGGGATAATCTGCTCCTGGGGATACATGTGTGTTACTAGGACCACTTCAAATAGTCTAGTCACTTTAAAAGATTTGCGTTTTCAATGGTGAAATGCAGAAAGAGCATTACCAAACACGGGCCCCAGTACATCTGCAGCAAGAATGAGTCTCAAAACAATCAGGCAATACCACTTAATCCTGTCTTCCCATTACTGTGGTCACTTTTTTTTTTTTTCTTGCAATGGTGAATGGCACTGCAGAAACAGCTGTTTCATTCTGGCACTTTGCATGAGGATGCTTACATGGTTATTGGATGAGAAGACTGACTGATTTTGCCTCTCAGCATCCAGTCACCCAGAATAATCAAAAGGCAGCTGGGCAAAACAGGATGATTATGCCAGGTGGAGGAAACGAAGTTTCTTTTACTGGAACTTTCACCCCAAATGGAGTGAGGTGATACTCAGTGACAGCCAGTGGCTTGCTTGTACTTGGTTGCTTTTTGGCCTGTAAGGGCATGATCTGATTGGCAGCCTGTTTTCAGCGTACATTGCAGATTTGTAGTGCAGACGTCACTGCAACACCCTGCTAACTAAAATGGCAAGAGACCACTCAAACCTTGCTTCATTTCATCTCTGAAATCAGAGCCGGGAATGGCTGGTCATATGGAAATGCTCAAGGTTCTCGTGGTTAAAAACCTGAATGTTATTTTTATGACACAGTTCTGAAGACAAAGTGGAAAACAAGTGTGACAACCATGAAGTGAAGATAGCAGTGGAGGTAAATAAGCTGCCTCTGTCAGTGGTGAATGAACGAAGCAAGAAGTGAGGCAGGGAGGTCACAGAGGTGCTTGCAAAGATGATAGCATCCAGGAGAAATCAGCAAGGAAATTAATAGGTCAATGGATTTGAGAAGGAAGGAAAATTCCAGACAGCTGATCAATAGCTTTGGCTACAATTAGACAAACTAAACTGTGCCTGGAATAAATGTTTCTGTAGGACTACAAGTAAGCAAAAGTAATTTCCAAAGTATATGCTGATATATAAGTGAAATGTTTTGGCTGTACAGAACTGGGATAGAAAAGTACTATTCCATAATTGAAAAAGGGCAAACACATTAATGATCACATTGTAGTTAATCACTGTGACACTTTCTGTAGTTTTGGCTGAAGAGACAGCCAAGATGGGATCTCAGAAAGCCACTTTCTCTGTAGTGCATTCAGAATGTGACTACATGGACTATCACACATTGATTGACAAAATCTGGAGATATGTCTTTGTGTACTTTTCTAGTTTCACATGTATCTGAGTTTCGTTTATTGAAGACATGACAAATCACACGTTTCCCCAACAATTAACAAAGACTTTCTAGACCCACACACTGCAGCAACTATAATTTTTTACAATGATTGTTGGCTGCACTCTCAACTGTAATAGTGGGTGAAACCAAGCATCTATATTGTGCATGGGTGTGTATACATACACCTCTACACAGCTCTGTGTGTTAATGTATGTTTTATGTCACTATAAGACATGCATACACATGTATACAAAAATTAAATACATTATCGCTTCATCATTGCCAAGGTAATCTATGGAGACAGACCCTTTATTCTCTCTCAATCTTTGTTCGTTCATGCAGAAATTACTATCACTCATAATAATAATAAACCACCTTGAATAGTCCTGTTGGTTAAAATCAGGTGATCTTATGGGGTAATTTTTTTGAAGTTATAGTAGTTAACAATCCTGTCTGAAATTTGGCAACTGTTTTGAATTGTTTCATTAGAGGAATCTACTTTTAACAACTGAAAGCATTGCATAAGGATACTGGGGAATGGGAAGGAGAAATATATATTTTTCAACCTAAATTTTATGGCGCCATTACTGATTATAGTGATTTATGCAGGGAAAAAGGCTAACCCAGAGTCCCCTGATACAAACCATGCTTGTAAATAAACAGCAGCAACCCTGATTTCCCATGTACACTCTGTTATATGTATGTTCTAGGGCTTCCATTAAAGTTTTTAAAAGTCACACACCTGGACGTGACATAAGTGAAGACCTTAAAACATTTCTGATATTATTAAAATATGATGCAGAATGGGAAGCTGTACATGCACCACAGAGTGTGCCAAGTTTTTTTCTTTGAGGATGGGGTATACTATGGAGAAAGACTGCCACTGTCGTGAATTAGAATTCACTTGTAGCTTGCTCTTCCACTTCTCTATGGCTACCGAATCAGAGACCTTGTATTATGTCATAATAGTTGCAACGGGATTGACTATGCTGTCACTGGTGCATAAATGGGAATGTTCAGTGAACTAAGCAGGAATTAGGTTACTACAAGATGCATCTACAGCTAATATGTTAAGTTAGGCAGCCTGTATAATATTGGGGGGTTCTTTGTAAATTTTAGCTCAACTTGATGGAGACTTGACTTTTATTTTTTACAAATATACAATTAAAAAGAAAAGTACCCCAAAAAGGATAAAAGTCCCCATGGCTGAAAGTTGTATACACACATGATTAAAGTGTCTTGTGGAAAATTCTGAATTGTTTTGGCATTTTTAATAAAGTACATTATATTACAACTAAATAAAACAAAAAAAGAAAAAAAAGGCTAGAGCCAGCTGTTGATTTGTGTAGTCTGAGCCTCCCCACCCACCCTCTCCCTCCCCACCCTAGAGAGGCACCGAGAGAAAAGAAATCCTCCCCATCCAATAACTCAATTTGTATTTTTAGGAAGCTAACCAATAGGAAGCAACACAACAAGCGTGGTGTCAAATGAAGCTGACAAATCCTGCACGTTGCATTAACAAGAACACCCTCCTTCACTAGCCGGTGGTTCCTGTGGTTTGTCCAATTTAATGTCAATCACTGAAGAAAAGGGTTAAGGGAGACAAGCAAAAGAGCTCTTCCTTTGGTTATTATGAAATGAGCACCGTCTCCTTTGAGAGAACAAGATGTCATTGCAGATTGTAGTACGCCAGTATTAACCCGTAACATCAACTCCGAATGGGAGAGGATAACTACCGTTATAACCACCTTAAGTACACTACAGAGACAATTCTGATTAAAAAACAAATTTGTACACTGCTAAGAATGCTTGCAGCAAAGCTCAGAGGGACTAATTAGTTATCTCTCTCTTTACCCTGAAAACGTTAAGAGTGCCATCTCCATTTATCCTGTTCCCTCTTTAGAACCGGTCTGTCACCAATCATTTGGCAATCTGTGATGGAGTCAGGAAACGGATGATGTAGCCAAGTGTTACATCTGACATTTAGTTAACCACTGGTAGTAGTTAAAAATGCACAATCAGGAGGCAAAAGAAGACCTAAATCATGCCATAATGCAGTTCCCTGTTTTGTGAATAAATCACTAGAAGTCAAAGTGAACATATACTCAGTGCACTTCCTCGAAGTGTAAACAGTTTCATAGAAAAAGGTGAGTGGAAGTCCTCCCTGAACCACCCTAGAAGACAGATACTCACTTTAAAGAGCAATCCAAGAGAGGTATTTTGTTAACAGTGTATAGCGCCTACATCACCTTGGATGTATGGAACTGTGTCCCTTGGTAGGGAAATCTTGCTTCTTAGAGCAGAGCACTGAGCTTCCAGGGATGGCGTCACTTCTCTGCCATCCTTAACTAGTCACAGTAAAGGTCTCTCCTCCTCTGCACAGCAGGTGCAAAGTCCGGGCTGTGCTTTCTGCATGTGCTGCTGACATAACTAACATATATCACACTCAGTCCAGGCCCACAAGGGAGCTTCCCTTTCCCAAAGCAAAATGTAGGAATTAGACTAGAAGACAGACGTTATCTCTCCTTTGCTACAGGGACTTAAGGCACATGCCTTTTTTTCTGTCCAGATAAGTATTTGCTGGTCTGGATTGATCGTACCTCCCTCTCTTCCATGAGTACAAGGTACCTTGTACTGCAACTGCAGAAGTTGCAACTTCCAAAACCTTGGATGTGGCCTCTGCTGTTGTTACTGAATTGTCATTGTTAATATGACAGAAGGGAAAACTAATGAATGGGAGAAACCATCACCATCTAGATTGCATGAGTGCAGGCCTCAGGTTGAAGGTGGTGAGATGATGTATCTCAGCACATCCCTGCATAAAAAACGTGATGGAAAAGACTAGGCTGCAGCCTTCTCCATAGCCTGGTACTTTTTTATGACCAGGGAGAGGATGTTCTAACCGAGAAACATGGGTGATGTTTGTATAATACAGCTTAGCCATCCATTGCTACTCTGGGATAATCAGCTACCCTGGTAAGCCAGCAGAGGTCAATGAAAGATTTTTCCATTAGGTGGACAGTGGCCATTTCCCAGAGATGGCTGGGAAGCTGTGACCACCTGTCACATTTTAAAAATCTACTTGATGAAAAAAAAACAGACATACAAATATCCATGCTGCAATTGGGGGTGGTGCCACTGCAGACAGAACTGGAGACCTACCAACTTTCTGCCCATTTCACCTCCTGGCACAGGAGGGGAGGGGTCAAAGGTAATAGAAGAAAGAGACTGAGGTCCTACAGCAGCCCCATTTTTGCAAGGCAGCTTTTAGGCAGCAGCTCCTGTGCTGGCAGCCTTATACCTTCATTTTAAATGCTTTGTGTTATAACCATGTTTTTCAACCTTGGCAACTTGAAGATGCGTGGACTTGAACTCCCCAAAATCCCCAGCCAGCGTGCTAGCTAGGGAGTTCTGGGAGTTCATGTCCACACATCTTCAGGTTGCCAAGGTTGAGAAATACTGTGTTATAGTACATTTAATAAGGAAGACTGAATTGCAAGATGTGTAAAATCTGAGTATTGGCATGCAAAGCCCAGGTAGAAAAAAAATAAGCCAAGTCCATCATTCCTGTTGGTAAAAGGCACATGAATGAGCTGACATTTGATCAGAAATCTTTCAATTTCTGATATCTCATTGGTACAGGATTAGTTTTTCAATAATTAAGAGGAGCTGAAATATGCACTACCTCCTCAGGATGATAGCTGAGCAGCAGGTAGTGTGGAAAGTTCAAATTATGTTTGTGACTGCTGTGTAAGCAAATAAAATGGAAATGGAAAAATGGAAATTTGTAAAAAAAATCCCAAACTGAACATTGTAATTTAGCAAAGTCACAACTGTTGGCTGTGATTTGAGAGCCACTGCAGTGACTGACTGACTGGAAATGAAGGCATGGCCTAAGGCTAACCAAGGAAATATAATTAACAACTGTTAACACTAAATAAACTAAAACTCAGATAGGAATGCTGAAGTAAGATTTTTTAAAGCTCTCTTAAAGTAGTGTTGGCATAGTTATTCAATGTCTGCTTCTAGAGTCACTCGGCACATTAGAGAGTCTGTTCAAGTTAGTTTCTAAATCACACTTATTTGTCAAGAATTCAGAGAGAAAAAAAACTTATATGGTCCTCTTGCATAACTTACAGAAAGAATGTTAGCATGGTATAAACTGCCATTAATTGGCAAATATTCCCTGTGTATTCTCTATTTCCTGCCAGCCTCAGACACAGAAGGAAGTCGTTACTGCTGTGTTTCATTTAGAAACCAGGAACTAATCTCAAATAAATAACCGTTAATTGAACAATATTCATTAGTGCTGCTCTGTGCTAATGCTTTCCTTTGGTGTGTTCATCCCACAATGGGAGAAATGAGATTCTGAGTTCAATTTAACAAGGCCATTTTGAGTGTCTGAAGAATTCACAATAGGAAGGAAGTGGTTGGCTGATTCTTCATCTGCCTTCAGATACCCTTGCAGTGCAAGCTGAATGTTACTGAGACACAAAGTGTATTGGCTTGTGCAGCCAGTCTTTCTCAGTAGGAAAACACATTCAGAACATTTTGAAGCGTTTTCTACACATCAGTGATTAAAAATTCTGAAGACATACAACTCTTGAAAGTTTTGAAACAAATATGGAATCAGAATGTGGATTTGTAACACTTTTCAAAACAGTTGCCTTTTCAAATCCACGCAGGCGGACCACTATATAGTTAACTTGAAAATAACTAAGGGCACCCCTGCATTGTTTGCCCATAAGCTGAAAAAGTTTGAACTTAATTAGCATTTTCTTCTTGATATATACTTACATTAAAATATATGGAAAGCTATATTTTCTCCAAGGTAATAAACACCAAAAGCTCTCCACCAGGAAAAGCTGAGTTCTAAATAAATGTATCCTTATGCACTTATTCACTGTCCCCACTGTGTTGGCTGAAGATAAAGGAAGAGACAAAGGAGAGTGGAAAACCCAGTTTTGTGGGCACTGATGATTATAATCAGCCTGACATATTGCTCACTTTCAAGTCCTTCACTGCAACCACTAAGGACTACCTTTCATTTAAAAGCCTGAATACTATCCCAACTTTAATTTTAATGCAAACTGAATAAAACTCTGGGGGATGCAATGCTGAGTTTGCATTGAGGCAGCATTACAAACAGCCTAGATCAGTTTTCCAGTCTACAAAGCTTGGTTTAATTGACATTATACCTAATGCACTAACCAAATTATTCCCCAGACTTGACATAACAATTTGTATTGTTTCTTTTATTTCTGTACTCTGTCAAGCCAAAGCATATATTGTCCATGGCAAGAGACAGACCTTAGATTAGAACTAATGTTCTTCACATTTTTGGAGCCCTGGAGAACTTGGAAATTTCTATTATTTTGGTTGGTCCTATTAATTATTTCACTCTGCTGTAGATATTGGATTCTACTAACTTAATAATTAAAATTGTTTTTTCCTGTCCCACCAGATCCAATAGGATGGGCAAGCCTCCAGATCTCTTCTGTGAAACAGTGCCATCTTGTGTGATCCAGGTGACATGCCTTTTCTGTTGTAACACCTGCCCTATGGAGCAGTCTTCCTCCAAGGCCTGCATGCCCCAACTTTGCTGGCCTTATGGAAGGCTGTGAAGACCGGTGTTCCCTCAGACGTTAGAGCCAAGCTGCTAGAGGAGCTCGACATGTGTTTTTAGGGGGCATGACTTGCTTTTGAGATGCCTCAGATCTTGTATTCTGTTACAACTACTTTTACACTAATTGTATTTTTCTGTTCTGCTTTTATATTAGTTTCTGAACTGCAGTTAACCTCTCAGAGTTATTTGCTTCAGTTGCAGAGCCATATACGTTCTTCTAAATAAACAAACAAATAACCCTTCCCCTATTCCAGCCACTGATCATAGGAGTTAAGGGAGCAGTGGAGGAAATCTCTTCAAACTTAAATTAATGTGGAAGAGAGAAGATATGCAACATGGACAAGCATTATAGCAAATTATTACTACAATCACAAACTAATCCAGCTGGCAACAAAGCCACTTTAAACATCCCATTTCTTTCTTATATGAATTACCTCTGAGTTCCTAAATGGGAAGTGCTATTTGAGAAACTGCTGTTCTTAATTAATAAAGGATACTCCCTTCTTTACTCTTCTCTTGAACACTCTCCATCCCTGGTAGGGCTGAGGCAACACGTCGGAAGAGCTAGAGAAACCAAGGCCAATGGAGATGGGGTTAAAGAGAAAGAGAAGCAATAATTAGGACCTTTGTATCCAAAATGAAACTGAAACTAGCAATAGTATTGTGCATGTGACATTTATAAAAGAGGAGCCCCAAGCTGTCTTCCACTAGTGCACTGGCTAAAGGTTATAAGAATGAGTGCTCTTCAGATTAGTATCAGAGGCAAAGCCCTTCCTCTGAGCAGTGAAAGCCACAGGTTTCTAGGAGGCATCATTTCAATTTCTAGCACATGAAGTAGTATGTATGACTGAAGACCCAACTAACTGCAAAGCAGGAAAGAATTAAATAAAAATGAACTTTAAATATAGAGTATTAGGTGACGACATCCTGAAAATGCTCAGGTCATGAAGGCCTATTTGCGACATAACATTTTCCCTAACAGGATGACCAGCTATATTCCACCCCCCAGCCTCCCCAAATTCTTGTTATGTATCCTTTCTCATGTATAAAAAATGCACAATTTCTTATGTGTGCCCAAGAACAAGCATGCTTTACCTGTTTTACATTGTATCCTGTTTTCGCGCTTGTCTCAATAAACATGACATTCAGTTCTTTAGCTCTCTGTTCCCCTTCTTCAATGGTAATCTGCCTAGGGTCAGACAGAGGGAAAATGGTAGCTGATTTACTGCAGTTGGGAAAGGTGGGGAAAACAGGATCAGTTGGAATACCTGGGAATCAGGATCAGTCTTCTTCCATAACAAATGCAAGAAGAAATAACATTCTAGGAAATCTGTCCCTTTGATAAAAAGAGACCTCACAGGTCCTCCAGAGTATGAGGTTTATTGCCTTTCTGCATTTTTTCTGTATATAAAAAAATTAGCAGTCACCTTCTGCATCAGCAACGCTTCCCCTTCATTTTCATAGTGTGTATTTACCTTTTATCTGCAAGGTCTGTTTTATTTCCCACTAACATAATGATGACATCACTTCCTCTTTCTGTTCTGACATCATCAATCCATTTGGAAGTTTGTTGGAATGAATTGAGATCTGTGAGGAAAAAAGAGAAGGTGAGTACAAGGCAAATGCCGGTCTTTCCAACAGACAATGGAAATGGCTTAGCCAACATATTTGGAGAATTTTGAAGAAAAAGATTTCTGACAGTAGTCACGGTGCTGAATGAATTTGATAAAATGCCTGTGCATCTGACTTGGGAATGAAAAAGTTGTAGTCCCCAAATGTTCCTGAATGACAACTCAAATAATTTCTAGCCAGCAAGGTGAGAGATGCTGGGAGCTTTACACCACCAACATCTGGAGAGGTCCAGGTACCATTCTCTGAATTAGTCAATTTGAAGACTATAGCCTCCATTTTGCCATTTCATGTTGGCTGTTGATGACTGCAGGTTGGAACACTAGACCACTGAAAAGCAGTGCTCCCTTCACTGTCACGTGGGCTTAAGACAACATACTCTGCTGATATATCACTGGAGCAGAGTGACTGAATATTGAGTTTAGTTTAAAATCTTTACTTATATGTGAAATTTACAGGGGATTTTGGGCCAATACTAAAGCTACCTCACAGGATTATTTGAAAATAAAAGAAGACTTGGACAACTGATTGGATTTCCTTATAGAAAGCCTGATTTCCTTGGGAAAAGGGTGAAATAGATAAAAGTATTTGAAGAATTTGTATAATAAAGAAGTGCTATAAACTTTTCTGCCTATTTTTATGAGGCTAGAGCAAGGAAGAAATAAGAGTGAATCATCAAAGAAACCAAAACCAAGATTTTTGACATAAACTTCAGGACAGTGAGAGCCAACAGGGAGAAGATTTGAATAACAAAAAGTTATACAAGATAAGTTATTTTCACAAAGACGGGAATAGATAGGAAATGAACAGGAAGATGGAATGAGGAAGACTTGTTGCTTTGTTATAATTCTAATCCAAACTGAGATTGGGCATGACATTAAATGCTTCTTTCACGATAATGTGCATTAGAATGTTCTCAGCAACACCTCATTTATGTCCTCTAAGAGGTGGAACTAAGGCCAATTGAAGAACTTTCTCTCAAGTAGCTGAATATTTTCTGTTAGAACAACAATGTAATTAGTACTCCCTCTTCCCGTTAGCCAATTACTTGATTTTAAAACATGCATATTACACGCAACATACATACAATTCACACCTAATCTGTTTTTTAACCTGAAGCAAGAAACAGAGCTGATATTAACACGTTAAGTATTTCTATACTAGCAATTTGCAGCAACATCTAGCCATTGTTCTGGTGAAATATCACTTATGAAGGAAATTTTGTGTCAGCACAGCAGTAAATCCCAAGTACAGCAATGTTCTTTTTCCCACTATCCTCATCTTCTGGACTATCTGTTCGCACGTGTCTTTTGTCCACACAGCTAGTTTCCTGTGTGTCCCTCGTTGGCAACAGCTTCAACTGCAAGTTCTTCTAAAATGAACTAACTGTGACAGGAGCCGTGGCCCAGGCTTTCTTATTCAACAAATTACTGGTGCCTACATTTTTTTCTAAGAGAATCAGTTGCCAGTTAGAGACAGAGTTAATGCAACTATAGCAACCAAAGCAATGGTCTCCATCCTTCCAAAGCAATCTGTTAGAAAAGGAGCATTTATATTGAGTCACCTTTGTCTGTTCACTCCTCAATACCCTTGGTCAGCTGAAGCCGGCAGAGGGAGGCAGATCCTCCTTTCTGTCACTTTCCACTTCCTCTTATATTCATTTCAGTAGGAACAATAAAAGGGCAAGAGATGGCTTCAGAAAAGGTTACAGTATCCATGTCAGAACCTGGATCCAGGACCGTGAAGATCAGAAATATTTTATCTGGCAACTCCTTCAGCATGGAGGCAAGTTCCTTGGAAGGGAGAAAGTGAGTGCTATCTGAAAGTAATTGGTCACTGAGGGAACTAAACTATGGAATTTGTCTCCAGAAGGTTTGTGGATGGCCACCAATTCAAATGGCTTATAAATGGTAGCAGCAGACAAATTCATGAAGAATAACCAGTACTGCAGGTTAGATAAATTTAGACCCAGGAAGTCAAGGTCTTATGAAGAATCTCTTTAGATGATTGTGGTTATTTCAGTGGTGAATGACAATCAATATTTCCTTCTTTCACCACACCACCATTCCCTGATTTACAATCACTTTTTACAGACCAGGAAAAGATGCCATTGCTGATAAAAAAGAATTATTATGTACTTACACAATCTGGCATGTTTAAATGCTTTAAATCACAGCACCAGCATAGTTACAGAAATCAAATGTAATTGCTTCTGCTACCCTGATGTTAAATACTGTTTCTTGAGAATAGGTACTGCATTGTTGTAGAAAAACAATAGGTCATTTTTGAAGTCAAAGTAATAACCTAAGCATCTGTAATCACATAGATATTTATCTGTCCTGACTATGATATACTTTTTTAAACAACAGGAAAGGAAGATGCATGGAAAAAAATCAGCCCCAGGGGGTTCCTCTATGAGTAGGCCAGCCAGTTTTATCATTGCTCCTATCATCCCTACCTCTCCGAGTGATCTGTTGAAGGTACTCTGGCATAGGGCACTGGACTTTCACCCTGTGGTCTAATTCAAACTACACCACTGAGGATAAAACTACTACACTTATATCCTGCCCATAATGTATAGTCACAAGAAACACATTTGGTGAACTCAGCCTTAAGTTTGATCTGGTGGACTTTTTTTATGAATTGGATTTGCCAATGTGGTTAGAATGGGTAGATCACACTTTGGAGACCTGGATTAAAATCCACATTCAGCTACAAGGTGTCATGTGGTCAATCACTCCCTTTCAGCTTATATAAGGATAAAATGGGTATATGTAAATATTACAGACACTTAAACACCTTGAAGAGACAATGGGATATAAATGTAATAAATAAAAGAAATACTAGTACACAAAGATAACAGTATCAAAGCAAAACTGCAACAGATTGTTCTGTTGATGGCAGTTCAAGCCCGTCTTGGGCCAAGGAAATATTACAATGATAGATACAGCAAAGGAATACATGAGTGCAATCGAAAGTATCATCGCCCTAGATGCAAACACGTTAAAGGGATGTAAACTAATGTGCCATTTAAAAAAAGACCCACAGAAATTTACACAGCCTGTTTATAAAAATACCCATCAGAAGATATTTCAGTGTTTTGCCTGTTTACTACTTTCACTCAGCCCATAAATCAACTCATCTTTACCATATGGGCCATATTACATACACAGAAAGAAATAATACCCTTAACAAGATTTAAAAAGCGTTGCCCTAATTTCTCTGGAAGGAACCAGCATATAGTTAAAGGATTCCTGATTCACTTGGTGTGAGACCTCCCAGTGACGTCAGGCCTAATAATGCTGGAAGCAGAATGTGGAATTAGAGGATACTTATTCTGACCATCAAGCTACTCCTTAAGACAGTGTTTCTCAACCTTGGCAGCTTTAAGATGTGTGGACTGGGACTTGAAGTCCACACATCTTAAAGCTGCCAAGGTTGAGAAACACTGTATTAAGGCATGTCCCTCCTACTCATTGAACTTCTTAAGAATTAGCCTTCCCCAACGTAGATATACTAGATTACAAATCTCCACATTAAGGGAAGTTTCACTTCAACAAGACTGAAGGGCACTGGATGGGGGAAGCTGCTAAGGAGGACACTTATGATTCTTGCACCCTACTGCAGCTTAAAATATTGTGATAGCATAAAGAAGGAGAACAGAGCGAAGCTCTTCAATGTCACATCTCATATCCTTTCAGTACAAGGCTTCTAATGTAATTGTTTGTTTCATTTTATACTGAGCCACGCGATGTGCTATTCTAGTGATATTGAACTAACAAGTGCCTTCACAGTGTGCTCCCATTTAGACAACCCCATCCAAACTTAACTCACTTGTGATGTCATAAACCACCACGGCTACTGTAGAGTCACGAATGTAACTGGGAATCAAACTTCGGAATCTCTCTTGGCCAGCTGTGTCCCAGAGCTGCAACCGCACCTGCCAGGGCCAGGGGAGGAGAGCAGCAAAGAGAAAGACATATACACATACACACACACAGTTAGGAGGCGAAACAGATATAAACAACAGGACGAAGAGAAAACAAAAGTGATAAAGAATTAAACAGAAGAGGTTTCTAGCCAGGTGTTTTGTTTTTAAATGGATCATTTAATGTTTGATCATGTTTTAGTTATTCAAAGCATTATTTGTAATCTGATGTAATGCCCACACGAGATTACAAACATGTCCTTTTTCGGTATTTAGAGTATATAGAGTATGCATGGGAAGAAAGACTTTCCATCTATAACTTGTGTATCAGTTTTCCCCAACCTGAGGTCCTTAAGACATGCTGGCCTTTGGAAGGTACCAGGCAGGAGAAAGGCTGCTGCATGTTTTGATTAGAATAAAAGTAATGATTCCCTGTGGGAAGAGCAGAAAATAAATCAAAATTAAACTTTGCAGTTTTGGCACAAAATATGAAATAGGGAATATTTGAAGGGGGGGGGAGGAATTAATTTGTGCATGGAATTTAAGAAAATAAATTTAAAATTTTGGACATGTGTATTATCTGCTTTGACCTCTTGTGATATTTTGTGTGCTCTCTCTTCATGGAATCTTTGATCCAGAAAAGGTTGTGCATCCATGGTTTAAAGTATGTGGTTGAAACATCTAAAAATTCTTATTTTAAAAATTTGGCATCTTGAGAACATGTTATGATATTAACAATGTTATAACTATGAAAGTTATGATACAAGGAACAAAATGAAAAAGGCCACTGAGACACAAATTTGAAGGAGAGACGCAGAGGGGTAATAGTAGGTTTAAAAAGCAATTGGATCAGACTACAGCAGTATCATGAAAGACACAGCCAAATTTCACTAGAAGGAAGGTATGGGCAAGGCGCATTTGCACTGATTTGTGAAATTTGCAACATGGTCTGTAGCTATCTGCACTGTTTAGAGGGACCAGGATGATCAATATACCAGGAGTACTCAAGCACAGTGTCAGCATAAAGCACAACTGGGCACAAGAGTTTTACACATATACAAACTGACTCAGGAATTTTTGTCAGAGGAACGCTTGACGAAACCTACTCTGAATGCTGGCAACCTACCCTATGGTACATGTGGCTTCACTGTTTTCCCCAGGAAAATAACTAGTTTGCAGCATCTTCTAATGAAAGGGCAGCAGAAATGAGAAAGCTATTCATGTTCCAGCCACTAGATCATACAATCTCAGGGATAGCTTAGGGAAAATTATCAGCGTTTTTCCTCTTGCATTTCTATTACACTCAGCCTGTCATTTTCATAAGAGTGATTGGAAAGCCTTGGAAACAATCCATTAGGCCTAAGATGGATGGTTGAGATTGCATTAATACTGCACGAGACAGTTAGATGCTACTTATTAATGCAGCTGCTGCTTCTCTCTCATTAAAGCTAACTCCCATCTGTGCTGACATTGGATTATCCTTGCAAAAAGGTTCTCCCAAAATTATAAATCAAGATTTTTTTTTTTTAAATAGTGGCAGTGACATTTCTAAGAAAAGAGGAGAAATCACAAAATATAGGCACTTAGGAAAGGGGCCATGTGCCCTTCTTTGAAGAGGTCACATGCTCCTTCTCATCCCAGAGTTGGCAGGCAATCATATCACCTTAAATCTATCACCCTAACCCCAGAGTCCACCTGTACAGTGCATCCAAAAGCAGGTCTGTGCTGCACAGCTGTTCATACAGCTTAGCACAACACTTTAAAGGCTGTGATTGGTGATTTTCTTGGCTGAAATTCCAGCCTCTGGAATTCCTTGAAAAAAAATGCATATGTATAGGGGGAGACCTTCCAGTGGGATTGTCTTAGCCTGGTCTCCATGTGAATGAATGTAACAAATTAGCTGGTGTGGCCAATAAAGGGGACTGAAAAAAATTCCCATAAATCTGAGACTCTTAGTTTTCAATTGCTGGCTAATGTGGGATAACCTCAATGGCTCTTATTTACACAATGATCCGGGCACTAGGCCTTAGAGGCCCTGCGGAAGCAGAATAGAGTTTCCAGACTGGAGTTTCCTCATTTCCTTAGGTGGGCCAGTAAAGATAGGCTACTTGCCATCTGCTCTCAGTGTTTCCCAGCAATGCACAACAGAGCAACTTTGCTATCCTTTATGTTTTAATTATATACATGCATGCACACAGATGAAGAGAATAGGGGAAGCTCAGATGTTTAAAGTCCCACCTGCAAGAGCGGCCCACAGGGAAAGAGTAAGATGAGATCCACATTCCATCTCCAGAACTCAAGTAGACTGACAAGTGACTTTTACCTTGACAGTTAATCTTTGCAAACCACGATAGATCTTTCAGGGCAGACTGCCCTGGACATACAATCCTGTCCTTCTGTACCACAGAATAGTGCCCTCCATTCTACTGCTATGTGCAGCTTGACATTCTCCCTTCCATCTTTTTCATTAGGCCAACCCTTAAAACAACCTCTCCCTTTGAATTCTCTGCAATACCCTGTGGGGAGGTGGCAAATGTCCACTGGTTTTTGCAAGCACACTGATCTAGAAAAGGTTCTTTAAAGAGAGAAGGGTTAGATCTACTGCTACCTAATCTGTGCACTAGAACAATGGGCAGAAAGATCTGACTACCAGAAAACAGAGCCTATATGATGTGCCCATGAAGTTACCTGCAATCAAGCTGAATTCAAAGATGATTTTACTTTATTTATTGCTATGGAAGGAATTCAGTGAAGTTGCAAATCCCTAAATTAAGATTTAGCCAAAATCCCAGATAAACATGTTTTTAAGTTTTAGAGTAGTTCACAGGGTTTGTGGTCATTACTATATATGGTACAATTGTGACCTATTCATGGGAGGTGATAACTGCTAGACAGAAATCCGTTCTTTTGTCCTACTTCTGCATCACAAAGAGCACCAGCAGAATATTGTGAAAAGCAAGAAAAGGCCATGTGGAAAGAGTGTGATTCCAATTCTTTTTAGGACACCACTGTCCTACGAGGGTCCATGGCAACATATCAAAATCAACCTACCACTAGATATGAAACACCATCAGTAGATAAGTTAATTATCAGTTTAATTAAATGAGAGGGTTTAGCATGGAAATCCTCTTGGTGTTTGCCCCCAACTTCTGTCTGAATACAGAGCTTGAGAACATCAGCAATTCAGCAGTTCCTGCCACTTACTGTCCGATCTTCCAAATACATGGTTTTAGATAGGAAGTCAATTCCAATTGTAGCCTGTAAGAAAGAGGGAAAATGGAAGAAATGTCAGCAGCTATTTTGATTCAAAATTAATTTTATAATGTACTGCTTCAATGGAAACAAGTGCACTCAAGTATTACAGCATACATAGTGAGATTCTTTTCCCTGTGGAATATCAGGCCCCCACACCATATCATAGACTTTATAAACAAGACTTCAGAAAGTCTCAGTTTGAAAAGAAATTTGATGGAAGGCTGCTATTGTTAAAATAGAACCCAAGCCTCCTTGAGTATAGAAAGCAGAAGCAGAATTGTTAGGACACAATTTACACAATGATGTTCTATCATACATAGAGAGTTACCCCTTCAGTTTCCCAATACATAGATTATATACATCTCAACTATTTTATCACTGTTTCTTGACCCCATTCCTCATAGGGTGCAGCTAATGAGTAATAGTGCTACAGCATTAATATCTGGATTTCTTTCTTTGGGTACAGTACGCTGTCCACAGTCAACCAACCTTCCTCAATCTAGCATCATCCACATCATATCATCACTTATACCTGCTGTGCTCCTTAGAAGTATTTTTGTTTTTTAAGTACAGCCCTGGCTGCAAAAAAAAAAAAAATGCATATACTTGATATAGTATATACAAATACCAGTCATTTTCTATTACTTGATTTCACATTGATTTCCCAGCCAAATATGCAAATTGTAGCTGAGTATATGACAAAGGAACTCTAGAACCTCATGACTACAGGGCTGACCAGTGTAAAAGGGGCTGCCACAGAGCTCAGGTGGAGAAGTTTGGATTTCAAGTCACATCTGCTTCTGAATTTAGCTGATTAATCAAACAGTGTGTGCTGCAGTCTGCAAAGGCATTCTCTCCAGAGGCAGCTGGCCAATGTTTACCAAGCCAACACAGCACTAGCTCCATATGGTTAACACTCCACAATGAGCTGAGTTTATCCAAGTTTTTTTAGAAATACAAAAATAGAATTTGAAAATAAGATGGCAAAAACCCATCTTCTACTGTTGGACCCAGATAGCAGTTCTAAGCTACTGTATGATATAGCTCAGACATCCAAGAGATCCCTTCCCGTTACAATTGCAGCACACAGAGGAGGGAAGAAATAGATGGAATCTAATTTGCACATATTCATGCCCTGAGAGCAGCCTCGTTTTATTCTGCTCTGCCTATTATTGCTGTAAAAAAGCAACATTAAGCTATAGTGGAGGAAAAATAAGGAGAGACTCCCATGGCCAAAAGAGTTCCATTCAACACTTATTTAGAACTTCTGGTTGTTGCTGAGGTTCTGACATTTCACTAAACCAATTGCATTTCAGAGGGATTAGTGTTTGCCTTCATGAGGCTTCCATAGCAACAGATAGTCTGGGTGAGCATGAATTCTGAGTAGCTGCATATCCTGCCAGCTAAATATTAATGCTCATCTTATTTACACATTGCTGTCTATTGTACCCATACAATAAGGGCGCAAATATTCACCACTGATTCCTGATAAATATAATAATGAAGACCAAACAGCAACCAACAAGACATGTAAAACATACAAAGGGCAGTAACCAAAAAACTCACAAGGGAAAATCTCTTGGAACCTAGAGGGGAAAGAGCCAGAGATGGTTAAGTATATAGTACAGGCAGGTGGGGCTTCATTCATTCATTCATTCATTCATTCATTCATTCATTCATTCATTCATTCATTCGTCTCCTTCGTCTCCCGCCCATCTCCCCCCAATGGGGGACTCTGGGCGGCTCAC